ACCAGTATCCGAGTCAGAATCAGATGAAATTGTGCAATCTAAATTAAAGATTTATTAATTTAAAATCAAACACTTAATTCAAAAAAATGATAAATACTTACTATCATCTTCATCTTCGTTTGAATCTTCTTCATTTGCATCAAATTCAAAATCCACAAACCTTTCTTTTAATGTCTCCATTACTGGAATTGTCAGCGAAATTGTAGGATATTTAATACCAGAAAAAAAAGTTGTTGCTGATTCAAAGAGTTTTAAAATGTCAAGGACATCTTTTAATAATTCCCATTCATAATATTTTAATAAACAACGTTTGTTTTTGTCCATCATATCAGGCATTATTTTCTCTCTGTAAAGGCAATGTTGTAGCCAACCATTCAATAGCTTCACGTAGTTCTAATAAACGTTGCCATGAATAATAACTGGAATTCCAACGAGTACGAACGTCTGATATATTGCGTAATAGTTTGAGTTTTGAAATTTCAATTAGTTCATTAGCTTCTTCATTTTCAACGCCATCTTTATTATCAGTTTCATCAGTTTTATCAGTGATATTCACGTCTTCTTGTTCTGAATTATCGTCAATAAACCGAATCAAATCATTTTCTTGAATTTCTGAGTTTTTGTTTTTTGCAATGGTAATTTGAGCTTGATCCAAGTGTTCAGATTGTTTTACGGATGTTGTAAAAAATTTTATCAACTTCTTAAATCTTTTTACATAGGGTTAAATTGCTTTTAATCCCAAATTAACTGATAATTGAATTGTATGTGCTGTGCATGGTAACTGAGAGATTTTTTCAGAGTCTTTGAATGCTCGTATCATGTTAGCACCATTATCACTGACCGCAAAAATCACTTTTTGTTCCAGATCAAATTCTTTGAGTTTGGTTGAAATAAAAGAAAGAATTGCTTGGCTAGTATGAGGATATGGTATTTTTTCACAACATAGTAAAATATCAATCGTTTCAAATTTTGGAGTTAGCCAGTGACATGTTATACCAATAAATCCAATTTTGCTACGAGCTGT